AGGTCAATCTTAACCGGGGGTTAATATAGTGTCAATTAATTATAGATATACTATATATGAGGTGGGTTCAATATCCCCCCACCCCCCTACATTCAGTCGGGTTGGGTTGGGTTCGGGTTGAAGTAAGCCCATACTAGGTTCGATTTGTTGACTTATCTCGATAAAATTGGTTTGAATATTATACATTTACTAAATTTTCATAGTTCAAGTTTCATACAAGTAATTCTCAATTCATTATGTGCAAGGAATATAATATTAAAGTCAATTTTAGTTTATTTTATTAATATATTATAATATCGTTATTTAATTTTTGTTTAATTTATTAATATTATTCAACGTTCGATTGCAATCTGAATTTGATTTGAATATGATGTAAATTCAATGGATAAGATCTGATTCAAATTCAAATTCAAATATAAATGAATCAAATTTGGATCTACCTGGATTGACTCGATCTATTGGCAAACAGCCCTATTTGAACAGTTATCAAGCATAATCCAATTCTCAAATTATTGTCAAATTTCATGTTAAGGTTGAGTCTCTGAAGTTGAAATATATAATGTTTTTGGTGGCATTTATGATGGACAAAATAGTTTGGGGTTAAAAAATTTAGGCTGTGTTTGGTTGCAATGCAAATAAATTTGCACTGATGCAAAACCATGGCAGTGCAAATGATTTTAGTGTAAATTCTGACCTATTTTTGTTTTAAATTTTAGCTTATTTTGTTTGATTGCAGTAAAATGAAATAAATTAAGACATGAAGTAGAATAAAGTAAAATTCAAAACAAAATTAAACAACAATTTGCATTTTTTTACTTTTGCACTCCCATGCATTTGTACTAATGCAAACAAATTTGCACTACAACCAAACACAGCCTTAGGGTTAAAAAAATGGACAAAATTGTTCATGTTACTTCATAAATTATTTTTGTTGTTTTTATTGAATAATTTCAAAAAATTAGGAAATTATTATTCATCATAAAATCATAAATGTTCAATATTTTGGAAATTTAAAACCATTTCTTGCAACACAATGCTGTAAAAAGTCCACTTAATTTAACAAGGGATCCTTTAATTGGCAAGTCTGGATCTCTTGCCAACAAAATACATTCCAACACTCTACCAACATGATCTTAAACCGCACATCTCATACATGACAGGTCCCACTTTTATGATGGATCCCAAGCTCATGGTGAAATGTGCAGTGTGAAATCATGTTGATAGGATGTTCCAATATGTTATATTGGCAGGAGATTAAATTCCAATCTGGCGCACAACAGGTTGATGTAGGAGGATTCAACATATTGCAGTGCTCCAAAGTTCATAGACTTTATTTTTCTTTTTTCCTTTCTAGGGTGAAACATTGATTTCAGCTACCACTTTTGCCCCCTTTACAGCAAATACTTTGTTTTCCACCAATTATAATTTGTTTTGATGTAAATGGCAAGAGAACAAATCCTTTACCCAAAGGCTCAGTTTGGAAGGAGTACAAATACTGTATTGTACGAATATGTACAATACAAATTCATACAAAATAATATAAAATACATAGCTTTGCACTCTACAAATTTCTATTTATACTCCTTCCAAACTGAGCCAGAGGGGCAAAATTATACCTCAAATATTTCAGCCTGAAAATTTTCTTCCTATTTTATGTTGAAACAAAGGGAGCCTATGTTCTCAAAGAGTTGAGCTGGGCTTATCATCGTTCCATGTCACAGAAGTAAGAGAGTTTAAATGGGAAGTAGCTCTAATGGCCGTTTGGAAGGGCTGAAAGCACAGTGGCTTTTAGGTTTTCGAGGTGAGCTTTTCATGAACAGCCTATAAATTCTGTTTTGTGAAAATTTGAGAGAGCCCAGACGGTTTGGGACGGTTTAGCTGAAGATTCAACCAAACTGGTCCAGGTGCTTTGAAGGCTCCGGATATGGCATTCAAAAAAGCTGAAGCAGACAGCCTTTCAAACGACTGACAGTTGATTTGGGCTCTCTGCGTTTTTCACCGAATATAATTCATAGGCGGGCCATGTAGAACCCACATCAAAAAAATCAGAAGTCAGATGTACTCTATCACCATTAAGGCTGCATTTGGCATTCCTTATTTTAAGAATTTGTTTCCCTTTTGCAGTTAAAATGCCCCTATGAACATTGAATTTTTAACAGTAGCAAAAGGGAGATAAATCCTTAAAATAAGAATGCCAAATGCAGCCTAAGTTGATGGTGTATTGGCCTATATCTTCAAAGCAGTCCTCTTATGGATGTAAATCCTAGTCCAAAAATTTTGGTTCATAGGAATTCATATGCCCATCTGTCCTCTAAGATCTTCAAGAATAACAATTATAATGATGAGCTTCTGAGAAAAAGGTTACCTGATTGGGCCAAGTAGGAACTTCCTTTCATGGCCCACCTGTATCTGTCATAAATGAATCCAGTAGAGAGCTTCCCTTCACAGGGACAGACACAGAGAATGGTGTTGAAGCCTGCAAAAACCCTGATTGCTTGTCCATCATCCTTGGACGCCTGGAAGGCTGGAAGGATGTTTGGATCAAAATTGCACTCACCCTATTAAATGCAATACCAGACATATCTCAATACGAGTGGGACAGGTTACCCACTTACCCATCTAACGCATGTCATTGCCATTCCCTACCACAACTCAACCCACCCCATAGCCCACATTGCATTGGATTTGCAAAGGGAATTGGAGTGGAGTAGGGCAGGGTGCACATGAGGCCCACAGGCCATAGCCCACATTCGACCATCTTGTTCTTTTCGTCTGTTTTCAACCTCTAATGCCGTAAAGCGTAAAGCGAAAGACTTTAGACATCAGGTTGTTCTTTTTATACTTCTTATTTTTCCAACATCAGACATTAGCCCTGACAACATTTTTATTTTTTGTCCCCAAAATGCCCTTTGTGCATTTTACTCATTGTTTATTATTAGTAACATATTTTTATTATATTAAAACTTTATAAATAATAATACTAAAATATTCTTTTAATAATGATAAGATATTATTAAAATACTAAATACTATTTATTAGAATAATGATATTTGTTATTAAAATACTAAGAAAATTATTATTTTATTATTTTATTATTTCGTTACAGAATTACTTTGATTTTTATTTAATTATTATTTTATCTATTACCATTTTTTTGTTTTATGATTATGATTATTATTGTTATTGTTATTTATTCAATCATTTTATTCTTATAAATTTAATTATTTAATTATTTTTAGATATTATTTAAATTTTTCTAACTATTACATTTATGGTTTGCTCCCTCTCAGAAAATTTTGTTGATTTTCTAAACATATTGTCCCAAACCCTCGCCTATGCTACAGTACCCCCCTTGAATTTGTTATAGATTCTCTTATTTGTCCTCGCTCCCAACTATACAAACTAATAAAAATTCCTACAGTGGAGGAATCAATAAAACCCCCTTATTGCATTATTTTGAATTATTAATTTAATTATTATTTATTTTAATTTTAATTATTATTATTATATCATTATTTATTATTTTTATTATTGTTTTTTTACATTAATTTTATTCTAAAAATAATGATTAGTATTAATTTATTAATGTCAATTATGATTAACATAAATATCCATTCTCATAATCAATTATGGGGGTAAATTTATCAAATAACCATATTCAGCATTCAACATTCATTTTTTTTTCTTAACATTCTCTATCAAATATCAGATAAAGCAAAAAAAAAAAAATCAAAGTACTTTTTTCAGCGCCTTTTTGCTTTTCAAATATGAGACTTCAAACCAAAACAACACACCTTAGCCTTTAGTCTTAAGAAAAAAGGTAAAGCCTTTTGGGCTGGAATTTATCACTTAAATAAAAAACATTTTTTATTTCTTTTGAAGGGCTAAACACTGGGGGTAGCCCATCCTCCAACCCAGGTGCAAGCGTGATTCGATCCCAAGTCTCCACCACAACCACTAGGATAAAGATTCATAAATTGCTAAAAACTTCTTTTTAGCTCATTTCCATGTGTTCATTTCCAAAGATAGGCAATTCCTCTTTCTATGTTTATTTATTTATTTATTTTCTAACTAGACTAGAAAACAAATGAAATCTTAGACTAGCATCACTTGGCTATCCACATTCAATGTCGTGTGTTGTCAAATGGGCTCTCCCTCTTACAATGAGGGAGCCCCCATCGCAGCAATTGGGTACCTCATAAGCTGTCATCTCTGTCTATCTACATGCCTTGGGTTCTATGCATGTCACAAAAGTTAAATCTAAATACCATCATGTATGGTTATAAATTAGTTGCACACATGCTATTTACATCGGTATTATATAAATTGAATACTTGTCTTAGGTTCCATATAGGTCATAAAAGTTAAATCCATTTTTTTTTAAAAGGTTAAATCCAAATACCATATATCATATGCTCTTAGGCTAGTGTGTCTCTAAATTAATGGGATTGGAACCCTCAATTGGTATATACGCTAACCAATAGTATACCAAAAATCATGTATAACCAAGTGAGTCTTGACCTGCTACAAATAAAAACATGTACAATGGGCTATGTAACCCAAATAAGAGTGAATGAGTCAGTGATTCATACACATACCACTTATGTATCCACTCTTGATTGATTAAGTATCCCCACTCAATGTGTAATCGGGCCTAATCGCTAGGCGTAAGCCCATCTGAGAAATAAGAAAACCTGAGGCTTTGGGCTCAGGCCCAACGCAGACGAAGACTTAAAAATCCAAGCCCGGCCCGTGTGACACCGATGCTTCTAAGGACCTAAGGTCTGTGTCTTAGTGTCTTTTCCTCCATGAATACATATGCGTTCCATTTCGCGGCAAAGAAAAGCTCCCAGAGCAACCCATAATCCCACAGAACTGATATGAACAGACGATGCGATCGGTTAGATAAAAATGGCATTCTCTCGCTTATTTTTGTTTGCAAGTGCTGTTGTCTGAGGATCAGAACATCAATTCAGCATCACCAAAGCAACGATCAAGCTGATATACTGATTCCCGCTGTTTGTTCCAAGCTGGTTGTCGACCAGAAATTCCTTATTCGTGCCATCACAGAAAAGAAGCCATATGTATCAAGGTTATTCTACACTCTTAACCGTTAGTATCAGTATTAGTAGTAGAAGCTGTAAGCGACATCTATATTGCTCAGTTGCTTACAGAATATGGCATTGATACAACCCCATCTGGGGAACCTTCTGAGGCTTGTTCTCAGAAGATCCATCTGCTCTCCTCTTTTTACTCGAACACGACACATACGGTCCGTCTGTTCCTTTTCTTTCAACCAACCCCACTTGAAGAAACCTGTTGTTCAGAAGTCTTTCTTCAAGGCTGACGGTAATGATGGTTTGGTAAACCGCTTCTGTAGGGAGAAGAAATTCAAGGAAGCCATAGACACTCTATGCCAACAGAAACGCTTGAAAGAAGCAATTCAAATCCTAGACCTTCTGGATCGTTCCAGAACATGCCCGACTGCCGCAATTTACTCTGCTCTTCTACAGCTCTGTCTCCAACAACGAGCACTTGAGGACGGAAGAAAGGTCCACGCCCATTTCAAAGTCTCCGGTTTTGTGCCTGGGATCTTTATTTCTAATCGTCTGCTTGATTTGTACTCGAAATGCGAGAGCTTGGCGGATGCCCGAAAACTGTTTGACGAGATGACGGAGAGGGACTTGTGTTCTTGGAACACCATGATCTCCGGCTATGCAAAGGCGGGCCAACTTGAAGAGGCCCGCTTGCTTTTCGAAGGTGTGCCAGGAAAGGATAATTTCTCTTGGAGTACTATGATCTCCGCTTACGTTCGCCATGACCAACCTCACGAAGCTTTGGAGTTGTACAGAAGAATGCAAAAAGAAGAGAAATTGCAATGCAACAAGTTCACGGTCTCTAGTGCTCTAGCAGCTTCTGCTGCTGTTCCATGTCTAAAGCTCGGCAAGGAGATCCATGGTCATATAATGAGAACTGGGTTAGCCTCAGATGCCGTGGTTTGGAGTGCCCTGTCAGATATGTATGGGAAATGTGGGAGTGTAGAAGAAGCAAGGCACGTCTTTGACAAGATGCTGGACCGAGACATTGTTGCTTGGACTACGATGGTTGGAAGATACTTTGAGAGTGGGAGGAGGAAAGAAGGGTTTGAGTTGTTTTCGGAACTTTTAAGGTCAGGGATTAGACCCAATGGGTTCACCTTTGCTGGGATTCTGAATGCATGCTCAGCTGATGCTGCAGAGGATACGGGGAAGCAGGTTCATGCATACATGACCCGGATTGGATTTGATCCGTTTTCATTTGCAGCTAGCGCACTTGTCCACATGTATTCAAAGTGCGGCAACATCGACAGTGCCAGAAGAGTCTTCGAAGGAATGCCTCAACCAGATCTAGTTTCATGGACTTCCATGATTTCTGGGTATGCTCAAAATGGTCAACCTGAGGAGGCTATTCGCTACTTTGAGTTGCTGCTCAGATCAGGTACTAAGCCTGATCACATTGCTTTTGTTGGGGTGCTTTCTGCATGCACTCATGCAGGTTTAGTTGATAAAGGACTCGAATATTTCCATTCAATAAATGAAATACATGGATTGAAACACACTGCTGATCATTATGCTTGCATAATTGATCTGCTCAGTCGGCGTGGCCGATTTCAAGAGGCTGAGGGAATTATTGATAAAATGCCCATGAAACCTGATAGGTTTCTATGGGCTTCTTTGCTTGGTGGTTGTAGAATTCATGGAAAGCTTAGACTAGCAAAACGAGCAGCTGAAGCGTTATTTGAGATTGAACCTGAGAATGCAGCAACCTACGTTACATTAGCCAACATTTATGCCACTGCTGGTATGTGGGATGAAGTGGCAAAAGTTAGAAAAATAATGGATAATAGAGGAGTGGTAAAGAAGCCAGGTTCAAGTTGGATTAAGATCAAAAGAGATGTCCATGTGTTCTTAGTGGGAGATAAATCCCACCCCAAAACTAAGGAAATCTATGAATTTCTAGAAAAACTCTCAAAGAGGATAAAAGAAGAAGGGTATGTTCCTGACACAAATTTTGTTTTGCATGATGTTGAGGAAGAGCAGAAAGAGCAAAATCTGTCCCACCACAGTGAGAAGCTTGCAGTTGCATTTGGTGTTATTTCTACTCCACCCGGGACATTAATCAAAGTTTTCAAAAATCTTAGGACCTGTGTTGATTGCCACACTGCCATTAAGTTCATGTCAAAGATTGTAGGGAGGGAGATCATTGTGAGGGATTCAAATCGGTTCCATCATTTTAAGGACGGGAGCTGTTCATGTGGAGACTTCTGGTGATTTGGGGGCGAGCTGAAAAGTGAGATAGTAGTTAATTTACTTGCAGATGAAAGGGGAAAGGTTCCCAACTTTATGAATTCTTATCAATTAAATTAAGCAAAAAGGTATTATTCATTCATTTGACCTATCTTTTCAGTATTGATAGGGAGTTTTTCCCACCGTAAATAAGGTTGGAAGAAATGTCTGGCATCAAAAAAATTCTCATTCATGGATGAATATAACAATAGACTAATAGAGCATTGATACAAGAAATATTGGTCACAATTGTCCTTGAGAAATCAGGATGTTGTGTCTCTTGTTCTTTTTGTATAAGGTAATTTAGATGTATTTTTGGTCAAATATAAGGTTATTAGATATAAAAGGGAGAGTTTCACTCCTTTTGTTGACTTTAAACTTTCCTTTTCACTTTCAACTTTTCCTTGTGTCCCCACTTTCTCCTCTCATCGTCCAGTCTCTACCTGTTAAAAGTTCTGCCAAACCAAGCTCTCTCTCTCTCTCTCTCTCCTAGAGGGATGATGTGGCAAATCCAAACTGTCCACTGAATAGGTGATCCTTTTGAATGGTTGTGATTTTGTTGATCATAAGTGGGACACTTTTAATGGTGAGTTCTATTATTCCATCATATTTGAAACAAGTTTTCTATGTTTCTTAATTTCACTGTATTCTTTGGTGGAATGGTGGGTAATAATTATGAGAGGCATGATTGATTTTCATTTTAGCTATTAAATATTAATTCTGTAAATATATGTTTTATTAACATAGGGGCCATTGCTTGGTGTAATGGTAAAATCTCATGTCACAAGTGTCATGTGGGTTTGAAATGGAGAGTTTTACCATTAATGTCTGAGAGCAGCTACTTCATATTCAGTCCGCCCCTCCCCATACTCTGAATAGCTGGGTTGTTGGAACCTAATGTTGGGGTAATTGCCTTTTTAACCATGGACTGAAGTTGGTTTGTAAAAGAGATTTATACTTAATTGAAATATTACAAAGTAGAGCCTTAGATGTAGAAAATTAAACTTGTTGGCTTATTATTCATTAATCAGAATAGCTGCATCTAGTAAGTAACAAATTTTCATCTATTGTGGTACTTTGTCTCAGTGTGATCTTTTTATTACCTTGGTCTAATAATCCACAACAAGAGAGATTGAGGAGAATGTTGCCATAGAATCAAAGTAGAATAGGCAAAATGGAAGGATGCATCCAGAGAACCTTTACATAAAACACAGCTTATATCAGTCAATTTCATGCCCTCCCCCCCCCAGCTGGTTATTTCTCATTAAGAGTCTATTCATATAGGCGGTCCAGACAAAAAATGTTACTTCAGAGAGAATATTCTTACACCAGATTCTGTCAATAGGTATCTCTTGTCCCTCAAAGTCAGACAGTGCATTGTAAAAAGGTTTGACAGAGGACTTGGATGATCTTTGTCTTTAAACTGTTCAAGGAGTGCAAAGAAGGACGAACCATCTTCTTCTTCCATCTTAGAGGAAACTGCAGGAGCTTCTGACATTGTTGCCCCATCAGGTATGCCTTCCCCCAGTTATCTCATTTTACATTAGATGGTTTACTTCAACTGGGTTCTTTTCTCATTTATGTTAGATAGTTTTCATTAACTGGGTTCTCATTTATTCGATCTAATTTAAGCTGCTCTTCTTGAATAAGTTGACTTAATATATATTCTTTTCTATTGTTACTTTGACATTGAATTACTATTTCCTTTTTAAGTGGATTGGTGTGAATTCTACTTCTTAGTTGATATTGAGTTTCTTTTTCTAAATAGGTAGCTAATTTCAGGGACACTAAAAATGATATATGTTGATGTTTTTTCTTTTTGCTTTCCCACCTGTTGTCCCTTATTTTGCAAATTTATTAGATAATGATGTATTGGGTGATGTTGCTTATGATAGCTCTGAGCATAGAATCCAGGATATGTTGATTTAAATATACGTTTATGAGATAAAAGAATCTTCTATTAAAGAAATATTAAATGTTAAAATCTTAAAGTAGTCATTGACTGTTAATAGCAGCCAGCTTCCTATTAGCAGTCATTTTACCCATTTTCAGCTAATGGCAACCATTTAATCCTCTAAAGTTTAGCTTCCTTTTGTACTTCTCCCTCCTTCCCTCTCTCTCTCTCTCTCCCTCAAAGCTGTTTGGTTTATGTGTTCATAACTGATATTTTGCATCCTCTTGCAGTTTAAGTTCCGTTGCCTACCTCTGAATGATTCTTTTTTCCTTTTTTTTTTGTTAGGATGTTGTGATTCTTTTTCACTTTTACTGTTACTACATTACCTCTTCCTTTTAATTTCTAGAAAATGAGCATTGGTGCTTTCTTCCAGATGCCATGTGGATATCTTTAACATGCTGTAAGAGAAAAGTTCTTCAATTGACACTTCTCAATACTTTCAGATTAATTTTTCAAAATCCTAAAATCCTTTTCATTTATTAAGAACTCTTTGAGCTAGCTTTACCAAATTAGGAGCTGCAATATAATATTCTTGGAGAATTTGTATGCCCTTGGGTTGGGATTGGGTTGATGGGTGTGTAGGTATATAATGATAGTTTTAGACATCTTATATGAAGTCACTACAAGTAAATCATAAGAAACGTGTATAAAATGTTGAAAGTACCTTCATTATGTGTTGATAAATAAATATATTACATAATTGGTTTTTATCTTAAATCAGGTTAGGACCGGTAAAACCAGTGCAACTACCACCCTATTATAATAGAAACTCAAAAAACCCAAACCCAAACCAACCCAATAATTGTTACTCAAGATGCAGACTCCAAGCCTGTATGATAGGTTCAGGTTAGTAAAAGATGCTTTCCTAAGCTGGGAGACCAGGAACAATACATTTCACATGAACAATCAGCTAGCTCCATCACTGTTAATATCATGAATATCAACATACATCAAACAAGACAGTACACTGCCTTAAATACAGCAAAGGATTCAACTTTCTCATCCAACAAGAGGCATTCCATTAAACTTGATAGTTGAGCTTCACAGTAATGGCTCTTATGATCTAGGTGCAAGAAATGCAATACTTGCATCCATCATCAAAGAGTCAACCAATTATTACCTTTACAGTAACAGAGCATAGATAATGGGCCCAGAGCAGTTATGACAAAGAAGAGAAGCTATTGCAGGTCTTGAGGCATCCTTGAAGCTGGACATTAGGCCCTAAAAGTGGCATCTCTCTCTGTCTTATCTCTTTTTTGAACCAAGACTATACTGTGCTTTCATGGATCGAACAACTACATGGGAACCATCATGTTAAATATTTGCTCTGTCAATTTGTATATATAACAACTTAATAAGTTTTGATCACTTACCCAGAGAATCCATTACATCATCTTTTTGCTTATTTTGCATTTAAATCACAACCTCATATAATCTTTATGATCCTACAAAGGAACTCATGCAATTTTTTGTTTGTGTAATAGGGATTGTTTTGCCAAAATTTGTGGAATGAAAACTGAATTTAGTTGCATTTATTTTGTCTTTTCTTTTTGTCTTGGTTTTTAGGAGAGGAACAAGAGGCTGTTTTACAAGCTCTCCATCTGTTCATGGCATCTGTTTGGGGTCTTCCTGCTAGATATGCAAAGATTATAATAGAAGTGATACCTAACAAAATTCTAATCTTTCTTCTTACTGATGAATTTCTTTTGTATTATGCACTTCTTTTATTGTGTATAACCTTTTCTTTTGTATTTATTGATATTGACCTATATGTTTGTTTTTTATATTATAGCAGGTCTTCTACTTAAAACAATCAAAGGGTTTGCCTACCAAGGAAACACAGGTGAAGCTTAAATAGGTATTTTGTCTCATGATTCTATCTTTGTTGATGCTTCTAATGTATTGGAAACTAAGCTGCCATTTATTATTATGCTGGATCTTTCTTTAATTATTTACTTCATGCTCTTGCTTTCCTTTCTCTGCATTTAATCTTTGATTTTTTTTTCAATTTCTGCATTTGCTACGAGTTATATATTAGCTCCTTTTAATCTGAGATTTTTAACCATAGCTCCTTTTTTTTTGAGAAGTTCTTAATTTCTGGTTCTTTTTAGATTCTTTAATAATTGATGAAGACTTACTTCAGCACATTGTCTTGCAGCCATAGCTTTATTACTAGTTATTCCCAATTCTACCATTTAATTTTTTTTCTTAACCATTGGATCATTGAATTTGATGTAACAAATCTTCTGTAGTTGGGACAAGGCTTAGATGATGATGATGAGTAGTACATCTCACTCACTAACCTAATGGAAATTTTACGGAACATATCTCCTGTTGTATGGAGTGGCATAGGATGCACACATCTGCTTCAAGCATAAAGTTTAAAACAAAAATATAGAAAGTAGAGGAAAGAATTCAATAAATTTTCTAAAAAAAAAATAGATGGACATTGTGCCTCATCTTGGTTTCCGAAAATTTGAATTTGGGTTTCTATATGATGATCCATTTTGTTTTGTCTCATTTTATCAATGGTCATGCAGTGGCTTTTGGCGTTGCAAGGTAGACCCCATATGGAAAGCTGTGAAGCTGTATTTGGTGAAAAAAAAAACCCAGAAAGCCAGAAATATGCTTGAGCTACGAAATTGACTTTTTGGTGAAACTATTTTTGGTAGCTTAGCATATAATGATCCCAAACGGGCTCTTAGGCCCTTGCTCAAGACAAGATGTAGAAAAGACAAAGGTACGTTTCATGGCAATTACTGTTAAAATGCTCCTAACATCTAGGCTGACTAGCCTCTCCATGGAACTTAAACTTCCATATTTGAGACTAGTAGCAGCTGTTGGTTTTAGGGGCAAAAGGTTTGAGATTCCAAGCAATACCAATCCTCACTTAAGCTTGCTGGGTTTTAGGCTGACTAGCCAACCCCATATCTTTAATTGAGCTTGTTGGGCCAAGTGAAAAAATATTTCATATTCTGTGTTGACTTCCATCCACTGCTTTTTTCCTGTCCTTACCTCTAACAAAAGAAATATTTTAAACTGCAGTGATACCTGGAAACACTCCTCTTTTTCAAGTATCTTGAAGGCGTTGGTGAAACCTCCAACACCTCAACCAGTTCGTGTAGACATTCCCCAACTAACCTAAAAGGGTGAAATTTGCAAACGTTACATAGGTGCTTTTCAAATTTGCAAGCTAATAATTTGAATGGAATTGCTTGCTACTCTGGGAGTTCATAATTTCCACCACTGGCACATGGTAGCCAAGAAGTCAAGCTTCCTTTCCCATCCCCAACCCCACCCAAGAACTGATGGACGGACGGCTGAACAAGAAATTCTCTGTTCCCTCTGCTACTACCAAAAGAACCTTCACTTGGCCATGTTTGGTTTGAAGGAAAAGGTAAGGAAGGGAAGGGAAAGATAGAGAAAGCTATACAGGGTTTGTAAAGGTTTCCCTACCTTTCCCTACCTTTTCCTACTTTTTCCTTCAAACCAAACATAGCCTTAAAGAACTAGCAGTCTTCGACCATCTCTTATTTCAGTAAGCAGGTTAGGAGCTTTTGGCTTAGATCCAAGCAACTCTTTCCACGGGAATTGAAACTTCATACTCGGATGATGTTGTTCGATCTTATTTGGTAGTGTACCAATTTCATGTGTTGAATTCTGGTAGCGTTTTCAGGTCATGGCGGTATGGAGAGAGAGAGAGAGATTTCCTCTTTAAGGTAGCGCACAATCAAGGGTACCACATAACGGCTTCTAAGTTCTAACTACTTGCTTGGTATCTTAACCATGCTGCATGTTACATGTGCAATGAGATCCTGCCTACCATATTGATAGGCCACCCAAAGAGCGCTCTGGCACAAGAAATTCACTATCAATAGGTTATCCTTACCCTACAATAAATTTTTTGGAGATCATATCTTATCTTATATATATAGGATAGGGGTACTCTCTAGGAAATGGAATCTACTCGTGCGAATACCCAAGCCTATTAATTATATAAATATTGTTAGATAATTAGGTATATATAATTATCTAATTATATAAATATATAATAATTATCTAATTATATAAATATATAATAATTATTATAAATATTGTTAATAATTAGACATTGAATTGTTCGAACAGTTTTGACCATTTTTATTTTTTTACTTTTTTTGTTAGAATGGGCTGACCGTTCGGTTTGAACGGTCAGACTGTTTGACTCGATAATTGAATTCCTGACCGATTCGGTTTTTGGGTCGGTTTTAAAAACTATAATGTTATGTCATTCGAGTGTGTGACTTATACGATCCAAAAATGGAACTGTTTTGGCCATCGGTTTTTAGGTCGATGGGTCGATTGGGCGGCTCGTTCTGAGAACAAAAATAAAAAAAAGGCCAAAAACCATTAAACGGGTCAACGGGTTGATGGTTCGACCATTCGAGTCAATGGGTCGTTGATCGATTCAATGGTTTTTGGCCAGGGACTGGGATTGGGGTAAAATGAAATTGGTTGGCTGGACAGTTCCCAATTATAAAAATAAAAAAACGAACAACCCGTTTTGACAACAAAAATTACAAGCAAAAAATCGAGTGTGTGAGGTCCATTAAGCAATACCATACGTGCTATGTCATTCAAGTATGTGACTTAGAGGTGTAAAGTGGGCCGTGTCGGGTTGGCACGGCATGGCCTGTGGACGACCCGCACAAAGTGCGAGCTATGCTATGCTAGCCCACGGGCCATGCCGCCCTCCCCAATGAAAATTCTAGGGATTGGCTCAGCACGGCCCACAGCTTTGGCCCGTGCCGTGCCGTAGGCCTGGGCCGTGCTGGGCTGGGCCACAAGGCGGGCCTTGGGCCTAGGCCGAACCGGGCTAGACTAAATGGATATTAGGATACGAATAATAACGAATTTACGATTACCCAAAAAATAAATAAATAAATAAAAGTATAAAACAATTCAAGTAGGAATTTTATTTCATTTAAATTTGAATGAATCATGATACAAATTACAAAGCAAAGCATACAAATATTGAAATTATGAAATATACAATGGTTAGATACTTCATACTTGGATGAATGAAATATGAAAATAGAATCAATTAATAAAATATAATATAGTTATAAATTGAAAATACAAAATTACATTAATAGCAAATAAATTCAAAAAAAAATTTACAATAATTTGAAAGCATTCGCATACACTTTACAATAATTTGAAAGCATTTAAACAAAATTTATATATACATTAATCATTATGATGAAAGCATTCACATACACTTTCATCATCTGCTTCAGGTGAAAAATGAAATATCCGGTGTATGTAGTAGTATCATGCCCTCATTTGTCTTGTAATTGTAAAGTTGTAATCTATATTCTGCATCATGATTCATGACTGCATCTAACTAACCCTGGTACAGTGGTACCTGCAGGTCCTGCACTAAAACAACTAATAAGACTCCGATGGAACTATAGCCTATAGACACCAGAGGGGTTAGTAGATCACGGATCACGTGCCATGGTGGGATTAGCGGCGAGAAATGTTCTCCGACTTCTCCTAATATTTTTAAAATTTATTTTCCATTATTTCAAAAATTCATTTAAATTGTGGGTTACTTCTTCTTCCTTCTCATGTGTGAGAAAATGTCTGGTCAAATGGCTAGTGCCACCCTTGCTATAATAGCTAAAGTCTTTTCTACATTTTTGGCAAATTGCTTTTTTCCCCTTCCCCTCAACATCCTATATTTTAAATATTCTCCAAATCGAGCTACTAAATTTAGGGTTTTGGGAAGAGTTGGCCTTTTTTTTTAAATTCTAAAAAAATTAAATTAATTTAATTGGACATACCCTGGATTGTTGGTTTAGAATCCCAACTTGATTTCAACGATTAAAGCCTTTCAATGTGACAACGTCTAAGGCTCCAAGCCTTCCAAATTACTAACTTGGAAAATCAACCAATCAGCCAATCAGACTATGAGGCATTAAGACTATCAGAGTTCACTTAGATTGCAGAGAATGTACGAGAAACTAAGAGAGGGAAGGAACATTGAAGAGATTAAGAGAATAACTTAATAAGAGAACTGTTGAATGTTGATTGTTGAATTGGTGTGATGAGAAGAATGGTGGAGGATAGGGCTATTTATAAGAATTGAAAATAATTCAATTGCCCAAAATACCCTAAAAACTAATTGTTTTTTAGTTGTTGGGAGGGGTATTTTGGTCATTGTAAAGTTATTTATAACTTTACCCAAAAAGCCCCTAAACTAGTTGTTATATAATAGCTGTTGGGGGGGCATTTGTGTCATTTTTCTCTCCTCCATAAGCAAAATACATAAATACCCCCTATATAGCTGTTAGGGGGGGGGGGGGCAACGACTAGTTTTTTGGATAGGTCGAATGCGGCTCGCCCGTGACAGGCATGAACAGTCATGCCATGTCATGCTGGCCCATGGACCTCAAACACCTGACCCATCACGGCACGAACCATCGTGCCAAGCCTGGCACAGCCCGTGGGCTGTCGTGCCGGGATGTGGGCGGCTTGGCTTGATTTACACCTCTAGTGTGACTCGTACAACCTAAAAATGGAACGATTCTGGCCATTGGTTTTTGGGTTGACGGTTCGACTGTTTGGTTCGAATGGATGACCCGTTCTAACAACCAAAATTAAAAATATAAAAAAAACGACCAAAAACCATTCAACGGGTCAATGGTTTGATTGCCCAGGTCAATGGGTCATTGATTGATTCAACGATTTTTTGCCAAGGACCGAGATTTGGATAAAACGGAATCAGTTGCCTAGATGGTTCCTAATTAAATAATAATAATAATAATAAACGGCTAAAAATCATTTTATGGGTTAACGGGTCGATGGTTTGACTGCTCGGGTCAATGGGTCATTGACCGATTCAACGGTTTTTGGCCAAGGACCAAGTCTATGGGTCAACGGGTCGACAATTCCATTCCAGCCCCTACGAAGCAGGGCCCCTCCGCTAGTATATATTAATACGAAAAGGGTGGTCTCCCCTTTCGCCAAATGGTAGTAATTTAATTATTGCCACTACCGATTATAATAATGTTATTTATTTATTTATTTTAATCCAGTTTTAATAATTACTAATTATTATAGTAATTTAATAAATATAATCTTATATCTTATATATATGTAAAAGATTCTTTTTGTTCGGCTTTCGATCGACGGTTCGACCGTCCGTCCGGTTTGAATGACAGCCCATTCTGACAACAAAAACTACAAGCAAAAAATTTACAGAACTGTTTTGACCACCGGTTTTTGGGTCGACAGTTCGATTGTTCGATTCAACCGGATGGCCCATTTTGATAACAAAAATTACAGGCAAAAAATTGAGTGTGTGAGGTCCATTAAGCAATATCATATGTGTTATGTCATTCAAGCATATGACTCATACGATCCAAAAATGGAACCGTTCTGGCCACTAGTTTTAGAGTTGATGGTTCGACCGTTCGATTCGAACGGATGGCCCATTCTGACAACAAAAATTAAAAAAATATAAAAAACGACCAAAAACCATTGAACGGGTCAACAGGTCGATGATTTGACCACCCGGGTCAATGGGTCATTGACTGGTTCAACAGTTTTTGGCCAAGGACCAGGATTGGGATAAAATGGAACTGGCTGCCTAGACGGTTCCCAATTAAAAAAATAAAAAAATGGCCAAAAACCATTGAATGGGTCGACAGTTCGACCGCTTGGGTCAATGGGTCATTGACCGATTCAACGGTTTTTGGCTAGGGACCAGGATTGGGGCAAAACGGAACCGGTTGCCTGAACGGTTCTCGGGCCGAAATGTTCATCCGTCTGTCTGGGCCAACGGCGGTTCGGAAACCATGGATTTTATGCTTTTGGATTTTCATTATTCAAAGGTTTTTTCTATTGTAGGCTTTATTCGAGCGTATGTGGTATGTTCTTTTTTTTCATTTTCTACTTTTCTTTGTTTTTTTTTTTCGTGTTTGGTCTTCTTCTTCAAGATCCTCTAAAATGGTCTAAGGTTTACCACCATTTTATTTCTTCCCTTTTGTTTTTTCTTTGGATTTTCTTGTACAATATATTTTTTTTTTACTTTCTTATAAGACGATCTACTTTGTCTCTTTCTTTGGTTGCATGTATGTTTAGCTCCGTCTCAAAGCAGAACTTTATTTTCCTTGGTTTTTCTAGTTTGGTGGATTTACCACCAAATTTTTTCTGTATTTAAGGTCACTTTGGATTTATCTTTCAAGGTTTTGGAATCCCTTGCAATGTTCACCCTTCCCATGACTATGACTACAAAGTTATTTCGTCTAATTATTGACATTTAGAAAAAATGACTCGAAAACGGAAACGCTCTAGCCATCCGGTTCAAACGGATGGCCCATTTTGACAACAAAAATTAAAAATTAAAAAAATGGCCATAAATCGTTGAACGGTTCGACTGCCCGGGTCAGCGGGTCGTTGATTGATTCAACGATTTTTGCTAGGGACTGGGTTTGGGGTAAAACGGAATCGGTTGCCTGGATGGTTCCCAGGCCAAAGAATCCTACCGTCCGGGTCAACTAGGAGTTCTCGATGTGAAACAAAAGACAACTATGAAGTATAACTAAGAATCTGTATGATCAATGTTCTTTTATATGAGAAGCTTTGCTGAAGCAATATTTAAAAAACGAGAACATGATGATATCTTTTAAGTCTTTATATGAATTTCAAGACTTGAATACTTATAATTGCAAGTTTCTTATTAACAAATAGTAATATTATAACTCCATTCTACCCCTGCGAAGTAGGGGCCCTCCCTTAGTATAGTACTAAAAATAATAAAAATAGCAAGAAGGATTCGTGTGGCCAACCCCATATAGGCTTGGGGCCGTTTGGGATAAATTAATTTTTATAGAACATTAATTGACTAAGGTTGTGTTTACTCGTTAGTACCATTGCTGTTTGGTAACAAACACAATAAACACAATAGAATTCTAAATTGAAAATTGGGTTTATGGAGATAAGGGCAACTTTTTGCCTTAAATATCAATAAAAGATAATATTTTTATAAAATAACAAAAATAGAGTAACTTTTCGATACTGTTCATCGCCTTCCTCTTCCTTTGCCTGATTGTTTTTAATCGGTGATGTTCCACGGAAGCTTACCCCATTAATTAAGCCCCCAACAATATTAATCCAGACACCACAGTTAAAGAGTCTACCCAATCATTCCATTTCTCCTCTTTGTTTCTCTACTTCCCATCTTTCTGCTCTTGGCTCTCTCCTTCTCTCAAGACTGAAGACTGAAGCACCATGTTCTATCTCAAAACCATAACTAAAGTGCTGCTGCCTCTTCTCTTAACCCTCTCAACCCTTTTACTAATACTACTCTTCTCTTAATCCGATCAAAAAGGAACCAAAGTCTATCAAAATCCCACCATTGCACCTTCACAAACATCTTCAGATCGCCCATTCGGATGCCAGTCCGCTACAGTCCAGCACACAGTCAATGAAGTCAGAACATCTGCTTCTAACTGCACTGGCATCCGAATGAAGCTCAGAACACTCGACCCGCTTCAAGAGATGGCTCTGGATGACTGTCTCGAGCTTTTAGACGAGACTGTCGCTGATCTTAAAAGCGCTCTGTCCGGTCTGTCACCGAAAAACTCACCTTCGAGGCACTATAATGACTTGGGAACTCTGTTAAGTGCTGCAATGACGAATCAATACACCTGTCTTGATGGATTCGCTCACAGTAAGGGCAACGTAAGAGAAGAGATCAAGCAAGGCTCGTACAACATAAGCCACTCGGTCAGTAATTCTCTCGCCATGCTTTAAGAAGATCCCCAAGTCGAACAGAAGCTCCAAGGGTGAGGTGTTCCCAGAGTATGGCAGAATGGTGGGTGGGTTCCCGAGATGGGTGTCGCCTAGAGATAGAAAGCTTCTGCAAGCACCGACCAACACGACGAAGTTTGATTTGGTGGTGACTTGCGCTTCTTGGAACCGATGATCTAAGGAAGACGATGAACAGTAGCATTTGCCCTTCTTTGATATTTTTCAAAAAAAACCTTATTTTGATTATTTTATAAAAACATTATCTTTTATTGATATTTAGGGCAAAAACTTGCCCTTATCTCTTAGAATCCCCTAATTTAGGTCATTAGAGTTGAGAAGGAAGAAATTGAGATTTTGAATATTTTCACATGCATTTTTCTAGAGGAGAAGGAAGAAATTGAGACTTTGAATATTTTGACATGCATTGTCTAGAGGCTTGACGTTTTGATTTAGTTTTTGTAAACAGACAAGCTAATGTGGCGACGCATGCGAAGAGTTTTTATTTTTTTTTAATCTTCAAGTGAAGTGCTTAACCAGGCTCTTTTTTGGCCGGAGGAGTCCCTTTGCTCATCTCTCATATTTGATTGTTACAAGTTAGTAATTCTTGCCTTTTTCTTTCTTTTTCAAACTGTATATAGATCTTTTTGTACCTGTTTCTGTGCTTTAATGAAGTTCCCTTTTCAATAAAAAATATAGAATAAAATTAAAAATGGTTGGGTTCTGTTCAAACTGTTGCATTTGGATGGTGTGAGTTTGGCACGAAACTAGAAGGTATAGGGCATCAATCAAGGATTAAAATATCGAGGTATATCAATCCCTATTTGGTGTACCCAAATATGTTCAGATACACTGATGCATAGGGTTTTTCAAACAGAGAAGTACGGATAAACCCACTGCAGAATTCTGATTTTCACTGCAGATTTATAATATTTCAAAATGTCAATTATTTCCACTCTATGCATCAATACCTGCCGTGAATTGGCATCAATTCCAAGCTGGCATCTAGCCCAACTGTACATTGGGCCTATGAATTCTGATGCTGGGCTGAATCGTCATTCTCCCCTTTTCAAATGTTTAAAAGGTTTTAAATAGGGGTGGATTTGAGCCGAATATTTGGTTCGCCAAAAAACCATGAGGCTTGAGCTCAGTTTGAGCTAGAGAGTTGAGCTCGAATTCAGCTCGACTCAAAAAGCTTGCAAGTTCGAGCTCGGTTGTGAGCCAAGCTTCCTATAAAATTAAAAAAAAAATTATAAATATACTTTTTCATTTTATATATAAAAAAATTAAGAATTATAAAAACAAGTTGTTATTATTATACATATAAAAACTAAAAATATTATGTATATAATATTTTTTATTTATATATTTACATATATATTATTTTTTTTATATATAATATTTTTATTATATATGTATACATATATACACGAGCCTTTCTGAGTTTGAGTTGAACTCGAAACTAGAGTTAGAATGAGCCAAATCAAGCTTTTCACAAGCCGGTCTCAAATAGTTCGTGAAAGGCTCAATTCGTGTCTACCCCTAACTCTCTATCGAGCTCCCTTATCATTATTAAAAAAAAGTTTAAAAAATAAATAAAACAGGGTAAATACCGGTCATATGTATTACAGTATTAGTGACCCAAGACCTAGTCCAACCCTGCTCGGGCCCCTAAATTGTCTGGGTTGGGCTAGGCCAGGCCCAGATATAACCCTTATCATAAGTCCGATCCCTGAGCAGACAGGGCCCAAATTAGAGTTTTGCTAGCTTCACGGTTGACGTCACCCAACTAAGGAAATTAAAAAGATCGTTGGATGGCTGTAATCTTTTTCTTGCGTCTTCACAGTTTAGCCAATCAGATCGTTGTGAACACGTGTAGGCAAGCAACGGCTGACTCTTGGCTGCTTGCCTTTCCCTCCTTATTTTTTTAAATTCATAAAACAAAATAAAATAAAAAGTATGTCGACGTATCTGATCTCTTTCATCTTGACCAATGAGTGTCGAGTGAGTGAACATGAGATCTAAGGAATCCGAAGAGTGGGCCCCTTCGGGGCGTGAACTACAACGACTTTCCAACAGGTTTAACCGCCAATGAGCTCTTTCTCGGAAAAGGTCCTCCCCTGAACAGCGAGCGACGAAGCACAAACCACAAACCAGCAGAGCACCCCCAAAAAATCCACCGCCATTTGGGTCCCTGTCAGTAAAAATCTCGAACACCTAGTTCGCAGATATCCGAACCCTATAAATAGCTGCCCGTAATCACCGTTCACCGACCAAATGCCATCTCCTATTTTCCTTGTAACAACGTAGTCTACACCTGCAGATATTCTGTTTCTTCGTTTCCTCCCTCTCTCTAGTGTACAACAGGCTAGTTATCAGCATCAATGGATTTCTAGAGATAAACCCGTCTTTCTTCCAACAAAATCTCCCCCGTCTTCTTCAGCTTCGTTAGAAACTTCTGCTGCTCTGTCTGGGAGTGGCGGCCCTTCTGGTGAAAATCCTGGGTTTCCTCCGATTCCCGCCTCGGTGTGGCCTTCTTCGTCTTCTATGTCAGTGGGGTTTAAGGCATCTTTTACTCAAGCTTGTTCTTTTGGTGAAAGTTCGGCTTTGGCCGGTTCGTCTTCTTCTGCTTCGGCTTCTCCATTGGCGGAGCATGAAGGTTTCTGTTCTATGGACCCTTCTGTTTCTGTGAAGATGGAATCCATAGGAAGCTCTTCTGGAGACAAAACCCCATTTTTATCGTCTCCTCGGTTGATAACCGAATCTGAAGCAGCTGGGGGAGGTTTTACATCGGTGAGGGGCAGTGAGGAAGAGAGTCTTCCGGTTCCCCGGCCCCTCGAATGCCTTCAGGGTAACCTGATTCCTCCTTTCCTTTCCAAGACCTATGATTTGGTCGAAGATCCTTCTCTTGATAAGGTGATCTCATGGGAACCGAGTGGTGAGAGTTTTGAGGTTTGGGATCCCGTGGAGTTTGCGAGGGCTGTCCTTCCCCAGAATTTCAAGCACAACAATTTCTCCAGTTTTGTGCGCCAGCTAAATACTTATGTGGGTATTACAGAATCACAGCCGATTACGGCTGCTTTATTTGTATATAACTTTTATGCATTTTTTGTATTCTTTTTTTTTTTGTAATTTTCTTTGTATTTTTATGTATCTTTCATCGTGTAAATAATTTGATGAATAGCCATCACTGTAGATTGCTGCTGAGGCTAAATCGCGATGTATTATGTAAGCTTTGTGGAGTTGGGAGATTTTGCTGGTGTATCCTTTCCTGTCACTCTGTATTTGTATCTGGATTGTAGATTTAATTATCTTTTTCTTTCCCGCAGAAATACTTTGGTTTGGTCTGTGGTAATTCACTTTTAAATCTTTGGGAGAAAGGATTCAGATGGTCTTTCTCAGGATTTCCTGAATATTCTAAATGGACTTCGAATGTATTTGGTTTGAAACGGGAGCATTCGATTGTCTTTCAGGGAATGTCTAGTGTAGTGTTAATGGTTTCTTGCATCAGGAACTCCCTCCCTACTTGTTCTGCCCTTTTGAGGTTTAACGTGCTGTCCCAGGTTTGCAATTTCCCTGTAGACGTGTTTCTTTTAGGAAATCTTATTGATTGGGTCACGAGGGAAGGATATCAACTTCTACCAGCTATGCAAAAACGGGTTTATACTTATATTTTCTTTTTAGTTTATGGAACATATGCTGCTTCTTATTTGCAGGAGTGGATGATCTCATTCTTTTGCAGGTTGTATTTTTTATATTCCTTTTTATGTGCTAATCTGAGCTCCATGTTTTTGTTTTAAAATGCTTTGTTTTAGTAGTTTAAAGAATCTCAGTATAGGGAAAATGACTTTATATTCATGGTTTAGATTTTAGAAGTTGTCTATCATGCAAATTCATTTATTTTCTTGTAGGATTTTATCTTTTCCTCCCCATTTATTCTTGAATGTCTTTTATTATCCTATTCAGGGGTTCCGCAAGGTTGATACAGATCGATGGGAGTTTGCTAATGAAGATTTTCTACGAGGAAAGAGGCATTTGTTGAAGAACATCCATAGGCGCAAGTCAAATCAAACACATCAGATTGGGAGCTATAGTGGGCTAACTACTGAAACAGAAAAGCTTGGATTGGAAAAAGAAGTAGAAAGGCTTAGGAGGGAGAAGAATTTCTTAATGCAGGAGGTTATAAAGTTGCAGCAGGAACAACATGGGACAGCTGACCAGGTGGAGACAATGAATCAGAGGCTCCAGGCAGCAGAGCAGAGACAGAAGCAGATGGTCACCTTTTTGGCGAAAGTGCTTCAAAATCCTACACTCTTAACTCATCTTCAGAAAAAGGCAGAACATAGAGGGATTGCTTCTCCAAGGGTGAAAAGAAAGTTCATCAAACAGCATCACCTTGATCAAAGGAAATTGGATCCTTCCATGGAAGGGCAGATAGTGAAGTATAACACTGTTGAAGACAACCTCAATACGTCCTCAGTAATGGAAAAGTTAGATCCAGTCTCTGGTACACAACTTCCTGGTTATATCTTACAAGATATGGTAGGGAAGTTGGGTCTTGGTGCAGCAAGCATTCACATTGAAACTGAAAATGTTGCATCCAGTGAAATGCAGCAAGAACTTGTTGGGGCCTCAAGTCAGATGGAAGTAGGGACATTGGACTTGGGAACTCTGGGCTCTGAAGTTGCTCTCCTCAAAGGAAAGAATGTTATGAGCCTCCAAGAAGAAGGTAGTGCTGATTATTTTGTCTCTTTCCCTGAGGGTTTGGCAAAAGATAAGACACTTCCAGACTTCATGTCCCCAGGAACCGAAAGCATCAGTAAACAGGATGATATATGGAGCATGGGTTTTGATGCCAGTGCTAATGTCTCTAGTCTCTGTCCTGATATGTGGGATAACGCCATTAATTATGATGCTCAAGATCTGGGAATCATGGGTGGGATATCGGATCCATGGGACCTGAGTTCACTACAAGCAGCAGGAGGTGGAACTGATAATTCTCAAAACAGGGGTACCTAGGGTTTCATCTGCTTCAGCATTGATGCCCTCAGTAGATCCCCATCTTGTATATTTTCTTTTCCTATACAAGGTTTTCTAAACTTCAATCAACTTATTATAATATATACAGTGATTTATGGTTTTCATTCCTTTTTATTAATTTCACTGCAAGTTATATCCCATGTATTATAATCTGTTTCTTAAATTTTATTTTACCAATTTTTATGGGTTCCTATCTATATGCCAATTGAATGAAGAATGCCTTCTCTTATGAGCTGAACCTGTGTTGCAAGATTTTCTTGCCAACAGATCTTTTAAGTTCTGAATACTGCAAGTTTTTTGACAGCGAGATCTATAAGTACTCTTCTGTAGGGATATATAAACAGGTTTGGTTGTCTACTCTAGCAGTCTGGCATCCAGGTTCTGGGGGAAGAACCGATGGTATGAATTTTTGCCTAATTTTCTTTGCAGATATCGGTTGCTTGATTTTGCATAATTTGGCCTTGCCTTCTTATTAAAACCTATGATTACTTGGATACTTGTACATGCCTAGTTTTTTGATTGTCTAACAAAATAACTACTTGATATGACATTAGTACTGCACAGACAGACTGAGTATACTTTATAACAACAATACTTCTATAATATCTAAATTATATTTTAACAAATCATACCATACAAAACATTTATATGCTAGAAGCTTTTTTTATACAAAGTACACTTGGGCCTCCCCCATCTGTCCATGAGACAGAAGCTAGGTCCTACGGGACTCTACCAACCAAAACTAAATCTTCGTTATGACCCTCATTTGCAAGCCAACTGGCTGCCTGATTTCCTTCTCTCCAAATGTTCAAGTTAGGTGTGCAAATGGATCGGGTCAGGGGGATAACCCTCTATCGGATTCGGATTTTTGGATTGGATTCAGATCCCCCCCTAAGGTTTAAAATTTCAACACGCCTCTATGTATTGACAAAGGTGTATCGGAACTTAGAAACTCCTTTTTTTTAGTTTTTTTTTGAAAATTTTTTTTTGGGGAGTTAAAAACATGCTTTTTTTTATTGAAAAGGAGTGGGGTCCCAAAACACCTAGAAACAGGCGTATCAGGACCTAAAAGATACGATACGATATGCCCGATACAGGGTGTATCGTATCGAATTTTTGAACCTTGCCCACCGCACCCCCAAATCCGATCCAAAAAGATCCGATCCGATCCAACCTATATGTGTATATATTTATAAACATTTTTACTTATAAAAAGACATGTATATATTACTATAAGAAGTAAATCTGACTTCTAAATCTGATAAGAAACTTGATTAAAGAAATAAAAAGGTGATAAAGGAAGAAGGAAACAACAGAATAGAAGAAGGGGATGGAGAAGAAGAAGAGGAGGAAGAAGAGGGTTCGATAATCACCTCTCTCCCCTCACTAATCCTTTTATTGATCTTCATTGATGTGGTTAATTACAAATCAGCCCTTAAGTGGGGCATCTAGCTAAGCATAAACTTAAAATAAATTAACATGCCCTTTAGCATACAAAATAAATAACCTATTACTGAAACATAAAATAGACACTAGGGCCCATTCGGCCCAGCCTCTCTACACTCCCCCTTAAGATGAGCATAGATGTCAATCATGCCCAGCTTGCTTATATAGTGTGTTAGCTTTCCTTTTGGAATACCTTTGGTCAAAACATCAACCAACTACTCTTCTAAAGAAATAAATGGCAAACAAACATCTCCTGAAGCAACTCTTTCCATATAAAATGTCTATCAGCCTCTATGTGCTTAGTTCTGTCATGTTGAACAGGATTATGTGCAATTTAATAGCAGCCTGATTGTCACAGTAGAGCATCATTGGCTTTTCATAGCCAATACCCAACTCTTCCAGAAGTAATCTTAGCCACAGTAATTTCGACACTCCATGTGCCATTGCCTTGTATTCTGCTTCAGTTGAGGATCTAGCTACTGCAGACTGTTTCTTACTCCTCCATGAGACAATGTTCCCTACCCCTAAAGCATCCTGAGGTGAATCTCCTATATTAATACATCCAATCCAATCAACATCAATGTATGCTTCCAACTTTGTGTGTCCATGTTTGGCAAACAAAATACCTTTCCTTGGGTTGCTTTTCAAATAACACAAAACTCTTCCTGTAGTAGTTAAATGTGTGTCTTTGGGAGAATGCATAAACTGACTAATAACACTCACTACATAGGAAATATCTGGCCAAGTTATGCAAAGATATAACAACTTCCCAAGCAGTCTTTGAAACACTCCCCTATTAGGCAACAGCTCACCATCAGTGGCAGAGATCTTATGATTGGGATCTATAGGGGTGGAAGTTGGTTTAGCACCAAGTTTACCAGTCTCTGCAAGGAGGTCAAGAATATACTTGCGCTGAGAAATGAAGATACCATCCCTGGATCTAGCAACTTCAATTCCCAAGAAATATCTGAGATTCCCCAAATCCTTGGTTTCAAATTCAGAGTTAAGAAATCTTTTGAGCTTAATCACTTCTTGGGTGTCATTACCCGTGACCACAATGTCATCAACATAAACGATCAAAAAAGTCACTAAAGAATTACTTCTTTTCAGAAACAAAGTATGGTCAGATTGGGTTTGTGTATAACCAAAAGGTACATGAACAGCTCTGAATCTCTCAAACCAGGCTCGAGGAGACTGTTTAAGACCATAAATAGATTTCTACAGTTTATACACTTTCCCTTACATTTCCTTTTTATTCAAAAAGGCATTTTTAACATCAAATTGGTGAAGGGGCCAATCAAAAGTAGCAGATAGAGACAACAAAACACAAACTAATGTCCTCTTGGCCACAGGAGCAAAGGTCTTAAAGTAGTCAATACTATACATCTGAGTGAAGCCTTTAGCAACCAATCGAGCCTTAAACCTCTCAATAGTGCCATCAGAATGGTACTTAATGGTGAACACCCGTTTACAACCCACTGGTTCCTTCCCTTTATGCAAATCCACAATATCCCAAGTATGGTTCTTATGCAAAACATCAAGTTCAGTCATCATAGCATCCCTTCATTCAGGTTTAGACAGGGCTTCTGGTACAAACCTGGGAATCACATGGGTAGAAACAGAGGCAAGAAAAGAGTAATAGGCAGGGGATAAAAGGCTATAGGACAGGTGTTTGGAGATGCAATGTTTTGTACACTTCCGCTTGCCTTTTCAAACGACAATAGGAAGGTCAAGGTCTAGGAAGGTAGGTGGGTTAGAGGAGGACTAACTTGTTATTTCAATAGTGATGGGAGGTGCAAGAGGGTCTGCGGAAGGAGTGGAAACAACTTGTCCATGCTTGAATCTTTGTCGTTGGTACCACCTTTGGAGCATAGGATGTGAATGAAATATAGGAGGATGAGCTGGAGGAGGAGAGGGAGCAAGAACATGTGGTAAAGACACAGTGGAAGGGAGGCATCAGAAGAAAATGACTCAGTAGGGGACTCAAAAGGAACTGGAAGATGAACAGTTGGAGACATAGAAAATGGCTCCGTAGGATGCTCTCTCTCAGGAGAAATACCAAAGAAAGGAATGGATTCAGCAAATGTGACATCCCTAGAGACAAAGCGGGTGCACGATCCGGATCAAAACAACAATATCCCTTTTGTGTGGAGGCATATCCTAGAAAGACACACTTATGTGCCTTGGGCTCAAATTTGCGTCTCTAATGATTATGAACATGTACATAGCAAGTGCACCCAAAGATTCAGAGCGGAAGAGAAAAGAGATTCCCATCCGGAAAGAGAAGACTAAACAGGGTTATGAAACCCAAAACCCGAGAAGGCATATGGTTAACAAAAAAGGTGGCAGTAAGGACAACATCCCCCTAAAATTTAATAGGAAAATGAGATGCAAAAAGGAGGCATCGAGCAACCTCAACCACATGGCGGTTCTTCCTTTCCGCCACTCAATTTTGTTGTAGGGTATAAGAACAAGAACTCTGATGAATAACCCCAAAGGTTTTAAAGCAGGATGAAAGGTTCTTTTCAAAATATTCCTTAGCATTGTCAGATTAGAATATTTTGATCAGTGTATTAAACTAGGTAAGGATAAGCTCATGAAATTTTTGCACAATAGTTGGTACTTCATCCCGAGATCTCATTAGATAAATCCAATTATAGTGAGAATAATCATCAATAAAGAGGATAAAATATCTATAACCCCCCATAGTAGGCAAATGATATGCCCCCCACACATCAGAGTGCATAATATGAAAAGGAGAAATAGATCTTTTATTGCTTACTGAATAAGATTGTCTACAATGCTTTGCAAGTTCACAAGACTCACAATGAAGACTCGATAAAGACACTCCCTTAAACATATCATGAAATAAATGACTCAATGATGAAAAAGGTAAATGACCAAACTGCAAATGACATAACATGACTCTATCAATAGACTCTGACACAACAGACTCCAAAGCTACTCCATTAGGTGGTTCAAGACTCCTATTAGGTGTGTCCAGCAAGTATATTCCATTCGCCTCATGGCCACTCCCAATCGTCCTCTGAGATTTTAGATCCTGAAAAACACAATGGGTAGGAAAAAAGGTTATGCTATAGTTCACGGATTTAGTCATGCTACTAACAGATAAAAGATTGGTATTAAGCTTGGGGGCATGATGAATAGAGGATAAGACAAGTGTGTCAAAGGCCTTGATATTTCATTTGCCAGAGATGGGAGCAAGAGACCCATCAGCAAGAGATATCTTCTCTCTACTAGAGAGGAGTTGATAGGAACAAAATAGATTAACAGATTGGTCATATGGTTTGATGCACCGGAATCAATAATCCAAGTGATTTTATGATTACCTAAAATAGAAGAATGATTTGCAGAAGCACAAGTACCTGAGTGAGCAAATGCAAATGATGATAGTTGTCAAGGCGAGCCTAGGTGACGCCTAGGCGATGGAATTTGAAAGTATAAAATATATATCCCTACCCCTCTTAAGCTACGTTATTGGTTTTTTATACTAACCAACATACCTATATGCTAGCTATTAGCAATAAAATCATTCAAATAAAACATAAAAATGCCATAGCTAGCATCCAGGCCAAAAAAAATGGGGGATTTTTTTTTTGATGAATAATAATAAATTTATTGATTCAGAAGCAAATTTAGAGTGAGTTCATACATCATCTCAGTAAGAGGCGTGAGCTGCAGCCCCTCCTTGAATCTTACAAGTAAACTAGGAAAAAAAAACAAGAATCACAACTGAGCCCAAATTAATTCTTCCCAATTTACCCATTGCTTAGCTAACATATCTAACAAAGTATTTGCTAATCTCCCCACCCACTGTACAGTGACCAACATATTTCTTGTCAACCAACTAAATTTCTTCATTTCATTCTTGTATCGCCACATAGCCTCTTCAGAATTTTTCAACCAACCCACCACCACTTTGGAATCCCCCTCGATTATTAGGTGTTGTACCCCCAGCTGGTTTGCAAATTGCACCCCTTGTACAACA